CGTTTGAAGACTTTCAAGTTGGGGTATTGCAGGAGTTCAACGCTGCTCCCACTCAGCTTCATCCGAACGCTTGGGCAACATGCAAGCGTTTGATATTTTGTGCAAGGATTTGAGCCTCACTCCTACCCCAACTTTATTCCTTTATCATTATCGTGCTCATTTTATTGCTCAAAAAGGATGAGTTTCTTAAATAAGCGAGACTGGTCGAAACCTCTTCTAGCTTTTCGCTACTTTTATGGCTTTAAGGGATGGTTCTTCAAGATTTCCATTTTGCTCAAGGGCCGCAAACTATTCTTTGATGGGAACGATCAACCGAAATTCCCTCTATACTATACCTAAAATCCTACTCGGTTGGATTCTTAGAAATCGTCGATGATGAACCTCGAAAAATGTTTTGCTCTTGAGATTTTATACCAGCTCCCCCAAAGCTTTTGACCAAAAGATGTTTTTAAATGCTTATGACCAAAGAAGTTCTTAAATGCTCATGACCAAAGAGGTTCTTAAATGCTTTTGATCCTTTAACCACGACCAATATGATAAATAGATTTTCATTATTTGGTTTATTTATAGTTAGTTTTTAACTTAGCTATATTTTCTTTTGTGTTATAGCTATAATGGTCTGCACTAATCCCCTAAACCTTAATTTCTTCAAGAAATTGTTGGATAAGCACCTAATTGATGTCAGTTATTCCAAGGTCGCTCCAAACACGCAAGAAGGCCCCTCAACTAGAGTATTAGAGGAAAGAACGTCCTTCGATCCTATTGATGGGACAACGACCTCCCCTTTGCTTATCCTTAATATTCCTCCTCTCACGATTGCTTTCGTCACTCCCACTAATTGAGAAAGAAGCTCATAGAAGAAAAGGAAATAGGAAACATGGTGAATGGTCTACCTCTACCCGCTATCACAAACATGACCGTTAGGGTGGGGAGACATTGACCCCTCTTGCTGGTGGCATTTCTAGCATTAATTTGCGGATGAGGAATAAAGTCTCTTATCATCTTATCTCTAGATAGAAGGAGTTGATAAAGGGCTTGTTCAAAGCTGATGCGGTAGAATTCAGCTTGCATGTGACCGCTCTATGTCTAAGCGTTGGAGGTGGTCCAATTGGAAAAACACTTGGCAAACTCCTGAAATAGATCTTGCCACCGCACTCAAGGCTAATGGTCCTGACGACCCAACTAGAGGATATTAAGGTCGTTTATGCCTAGTATGCGCAGAAGGAACATGATTCGGTAGCCAAGGTTGCTACCTTGGTTGAAAGAGAGAGAGAAATTGTTGATCGAGACACGTCAATTACAATAGTAGGTTGACGACCTCTTTTTTGGCGCAATAAGTCGATCATAAGGCCTTGGAGGAGTGGAGAAGAAATATAAGTCCATGGCTAAGGAGTTTGACAAGACTGACAATAGGTCATGGCTCAACACAAAACCAACTTCCAAAAGGCTTTGGATCAGACGACCTACTTATACAACATCCCCTTAAACAAAGGAAAGTTTGATGTTCAAATGGCCTTTCAAAAGGGAAAACTCATGCATGTTAGGGACATTTTCAAACCTTTCTATGAAGGCTTAAAGGGACTAATCTTTCTTCCGCCTAACATTGACCAAAGTGATCGATGCTAAATGGTGTGGTTGACTTGTGGCGAACTAAGCTCTAAATTTGGAGTGGATAGTCGCAATGCAGTTTAAGAATGATGATAGAGAAAACCAAGCAAGGATTTCCTCCTCTAGAGAGATGGGGAAAACTCTACACCATATGACGTCCCTCATCTTGTACAACGACATTTGGTTCATGAAGATTTATATATGCTCGTTTGAATCAGTGGATTTGTCATACTGATAAGTGTGAGAACTACTTGTTTTCATACTTATTAACTAGCTCAAAGTTGTAATTATTCATGTATTATGTGTTTTCCTCATAGTAAATATGTAATAGTTAGTAGGAAAGTGGTGTAGTTCTTTGTACAAGAATCTTATACATCATTGGAGTGTTGCCATCAGTTTCTCGCTAAGCCAGTCACCATGCGCTCAGATACAAGGAATATTATACGTTGAACACACCACTACCATTCGCACAACGAATGGGGTCAGTTAAGAGATCAACAGTTGAGTTTTCGCTCATCGCATGCATAGTTGTGCGCTAAGCGAATTATTTAGTTATGGATTGGTTTTTAATTCGAGAAAGACAAAAAACACTTCAATTCTTGACGAATAAAACTACGAAAAAACATTTCAGGAACTCTAGAAAGGCTGCTTCGAGGTGTCTGAATACCATTCTTCACGGAATTGCTTCAAATTGACAAGTATCCACCCGTTCGATTCAGACTCTAAAGAAGAACAAATAAGAAACTACAGTAAGAGGAACAACCTTGTAAACGAAGTGAAATGATAAAGTGTGAATATTATGAACGAAGTGAAAGAATGAAGTGTGAAAGAGTAGTTCTTGACTCTAGTATCCAAAAGGGCAACCAATGTCGAAAATTTAACCAACAAAGTTATGGGGGCTTTTATTTTCTATATCCCAAATTGCTTCTTGCACCCTTAAAGTTTTCCTTTTTAAAATGATTATTTTAATTTTTTTTAAAAAAAGTCACTTTTTGGATTAAAACAAAACTGAATTAAGATTTTTGGAATAGAATTTCTAATATAAAATTGTCAAAACAAATTTTTGAAATACATCAAATACGTTGTGAAATAGATTTTCTAAAATATTTTTTGCAGAATGAAGGTAATATTTTTTAAAATAAGTTTTCTGGAACACTGCACCTAAAACATGTTTCGAAAAAATCTGTACAGAACATATGGTTTTCAAAATGACTTTTTTTTCACATTTTCTCTTTTCTTAACAACATTTCCTCCGCAATTATAGAAGTGGCTTTGGAATGCATTTATTATTAATAAGTAAATATGAAGGAATATAATAAATTAAATTAATTATTTAAAAAATACAATTTGTTTTCGCAAATGAATTTGGTTATAATAAATAAAAATAGTAAAAATTGATATATTATTATCACAATAATTAATGATGAAAAATTATATCATTAATACTATTATATTATCAGTTATAATATTATTAGTAATATTATATCAATTATAACATTAATAATAAATCATTTATGAATTATAATACGTAAATATATTATTTATGCTCATTAAATTTTAAAACAAGTGTTCAACGAATTTTAAAATTTAGAAAAAATAAATACTGAAATTCAAAATTTAAAAATAGTAAATACGGACTTTTAAATTTATATATTTCTAAACTGAGTGTTTCTGCCTACACCTCACCAACCTCACCCTGTATCTTCTAATTTTTTTATTATTCCAATTGTATTCCTGTTAGAACCACATAATCATAGAGAATATTTTGACTGTTGTTTGTATGTGGTATTTGTATGTGCTGGGATGCATTTCTGGGATGGATGGATTTTTGGGTTGGATGGGATGAAGGTCCAAACCTTAACTGTAGTGATTGAGAGGACCCGATGCTGGGTTGGATGCATTTATTGGTTGGGTGGGACGAAGGTCTATATTGGATGCATTTCTGGGTTGAATGCGACGAAGGTCGAGTCGAGACGTAGTGGTTGATAGCACGCTGGTGAAAGAGCAGTTGCAAAGGTTACTGCACTTGGAAATTGGGTTGAGCGTCCACCGTAACCGCAGTTGGAAGTACGGTTCACATCTCGTCAGAATTGGAAGCGCGATTCATACGACACCGCTGTAGGAATTGCAGTAGCCGCACTTGGAAGTGCAGCTCATTGGGCCGTAACTAGAAATGCGATGAATGAATATTTTATTCTCTTTCTTTTTGTTTTGATTTACTATTTTATGAATTTGATTTGTTTTTATTTTTTTATTAGTTTAAAAATTAAAATTTACGCATAATAAATATTTTTTAAATAAATAAATAATTTCAAAAACATTACATATTAACAAACAAATATAAATTTCAAATTAATTATATTAAAACAATATTAAATAAATATCAAATATAATAAAAATTAAAAATTAAAAATTAAAAAATGTTAACAATTTCAATATAAAAAGTTTAAAAAAACCACAAAAATACAAAAAATTAAATTTAAATTAATAAATGAATAAAAACAAAAAATATACAACAAATAACTAAATAATAATTCATATTAAAAAATAAAATATTAATAAATAATTATAGATTCAAAAACTTTAAAAAATAAAATAAAATTTCAAAATTCAGAAAAAATAATTATATTAAAAATAAAATTTAAATAGATATGAAATACAAAAATAAAATACAAATTACAAAATATTAACCACAAAATTAATATTTAAATAAACTAATAAAAAAAATATAAAAAGCAAATAAAATTAAAAAACAATTAAATATAATAAATGTAGAATGAAAAAGCTTTCACCGCACTTCTAAATTCAAAAACAAATAAAATTAAAAAACAATTAAATGTAGTAAATGTAGAATGAAAAAGCTTCACCGCACTTTCAAGTGCGAGAACCGCATTTCGAACTGTGCGCATGATTTACTGCATCTCCAACTGCGCTTAGACCATTTGCCGCCGCACTTCCAAGTGTGGACAACTATGCAACCCTCATCAAATAAAAGCAGTCAACATATTTTATTGTTTTGATAGGGTGACAGGGGCACAATTGAAATAATACAAAAATTAGAAGGTATAGGACGAGACTGGTGAGCTAAATTTGATTTCAAAATTCAATAAACTACTAAACTTGATTTCAAAATTCAATACATAAAAAAAATAAAAATAAGAAAAATAACTACAGTAGAAGAAAACTCAAAGACTCGAGGTGAATAGTTCAGAAAATATGAAAGACACAGTGAATGAATTTTGGTAAACAATAATTACTAATTACATATTTTCTTTCTATTTTATATAAATTTTTATTGAAGGGTAAAACTGAAAACTTGGAGGTGCAGGGAAATACCTAAAACCAAAGCAATAAGCCCAACAGCCTAAAAACACTAAAACCATTGGGCCAATAAAGCCTAAACCCATGACGACCCGACCCATCTGAAAAAATCATATCAGCAAACCCTTATTCTACCGAACTTTCCTCCTCCACTTTCCTTGAAGGTAGCGAGCTTCACAACAATGGTGCGTATCATGTCCCAATATTTTGAAGATTCTAAATTTCGATTATCCATGTTTCGTTTCAGCTATGTTCTCATGTTATACATTTATAGTTTGTGAGCTTAGTGGAAAGGCGAAGTTTTGAGCTTTGTTACCCATTATAGTTTTTCTGTTGAGTTTGTACGTTTGGTAGCTTAGCTTGAAATGAATCAGTTTTTGCTTTCTTATGTTTTTTTCTTACATTATCTGTATCAACATATTTTGGGTGCATGTTAAAGGCGTTTGTTAAGGCTCAGAAATCAAGTGCCTACTTCAAGAGATATCAAGTGAAGTTCAAGAGAAGAAGAGGTATTTTGTTTGTTTCTTTTGATTCATTGTATTCAATGTATGTCTTGTTCGTTGCAATCTTCATTTGTAACTATGCTTTTATTTACTGCAGAGGGAAAAACCGATTACCGAGCCAGGATTCGGTTGATTAACCAGGATAAGAACAAGTACAACACACCAAAGTATCGCTTTGTGGTTCGATTTGTATCCTACTGTTATGAAGAATTTGTTATATGTGCTTGAATTGTTGTTTTTTGTCATGTGAATAACTGGATTTCTTCACTCAGTTGATGTTTTTCTGTGAGCATAAACCTTAACCTGATATTAGACTAACAAGGACATCATTGCCCAAATAACATCTGCTACCATTGCTGGCGATAATGTTCTTGCTGCAGCATATGCACATGAGCTGCCACGATATGGTCTCGAAGTGGGCCTTACAAACTATGCCGCAGGTACTTTGTGAGGAAATCTAACTCCCAACCATTTTGTGACCCACGGTTTGTGTCTATCTTTTTACTCTTTTTCTCTGTCATCAGCTTATTGCACTGGACTCTTGTTGGCCCGTCGAGTGCTTAAGAAGCTTGAAATGGATGAGGAATATGAAGGAAATGTTGAGGTATGTACGAAGTTGCTAGCTCTGTGTTTTTTATTTTTTATTGTTTTATTTGTGACATCTTTCTAAGTTATTTGGGTGTTCCCTTTTCAGGCCACTGGAGAGGATTATTCAGTGGAACCAGCTGACACCAGGAGGCCATTCCGTGCTCTCCTTGATGTTGGTCTCATTAAGACCACAACAGGCAATCGTGTCTTTGGTGCCCTTAAGGTAATCTATTTCAATACAGTGCTGTTTAGTGTGATTTTTGTTTATTAATAGCCAAATTGAATAATTGTGTTTACAGGGAGCTCTGGATGGGGGCTTGGATATCCCTCATAGTGATAAAAGGTTTGCTGGCTTTGATAAGGATAAGAAGGAGCTTGATGCTGAGGTTCATCGCAAATATGTCTTTGGTGGACATGTTGCTGCTTATATGAAGGTACGGACAGAGGTTTTATTTAGTACAATTGTGTTGAAAAGTTTAGTACTATATTGTGACTATTTAAGAAAATGTGTTCCGACACTATTTTATGTATTATGTAGACATTGAATGAGGATGAGCCAGAGAAATACCATTCACACTTTAGTGATTATATCAAGCGGGGAATAGAGCCTGATGGTCTGGAAGATCTGTATAAGAAGGTTCATGCTGCCATCAGAGCTGACCCTACTTTCAAGACATCCGAGAAACAGGCACCAAAGGAGCATAAGAGGTAAGTGGCTGATATTTTTTGAATTCATATAGATTCTAGAATTAGGGAAATGCATATATCTATTTTGTCATTTTGAATTCTGGCAATTTTAAGTGGAGCTGTTGTTGGATTGGCTGTATATTTAACTAATCCTGTGCTTTTTATCTAGTTTCTGCTTTTTATCTAGCTTTTGTTCATCTTATTTTTGCTACTAGTTCCGTATGGCATTGAATAATTGATTTGGAAGTAAGCAATTTCATGGATATATAGGTGTGATCTAATATTTAAATTTATTAAATCTAATGTCAATGCTATTTTTTTTGTAATATTATAATATATAGTATGGTTTAGTTTATTTTATGAGACATGTTCTCTTTATGTTAGAAAACTATGTATACATACGTATATATTCATATATAGTAAGATGTCTTTTTATGTTAAAAAGATGAATCATTAGGTCATGAAATGTTGGGATTGTGAAATAAGAATCACATGTTTCCTTTTTAAGTTACATAAAATTTTAATCAGTCCTATAATTATTTATTTATGGTTGTATCAAGTAGATTTAATTTAATTCACTCTTAGTTTTATATAAAAATGATCATACCCAAGTATACTACTCATGGATGTGATTAATTTATTCAATAACTTCATAAAAAAATGCTTCCATGGTAATAATTATTAAATTAAATTATGATTAGCTGTGTATTATAATAACTTCATAAAAATTACACAATAATAATAATTTGTTTGTATTTCACCTATGTACTCTATATTTCAAGTTGTGGCATGGTTGACATGTTGGTTCCGATTTTTGGTAATTTAGATTTTAGTATGGAGGGTGTTTCTGAAAATATTTGCATATTTATGCAGGTACAATCTTAAGAAACTCACTTATGAGGAGAGAAAGGCTAAATTGGTTGCACGGTTGCAGGCTCTCAACTCTGCTGCTGGTGATGATGATGATGAGGATGATGAGTGAAAGTTCATCATTCATGCTGTAATATGAGCTGCTGTCTTAGCTTGTATTTAGTCATTATGAGCAGTTATTTTGTAGATCACAAATTTTGGATACTTTTGGAGTTGAGTTAGCCTTTCATTTTGTGTCGGGATTGATTAATGTGTTATATTTTATTCTCATGCTTTACAGATATGTTGGTTACAATATAATCAGATTGTTTACGTGGTATTCTAAATTTTTATTATTAGAGGTTGAACTTATCAGTTTGGGTTCAGAAAATGACAGAAAACTTATTTAAGATTTTAAATTTAAATTTGATATCTTGAGAATCAAATTATGATCCAAACTTACATGATTAGATTTGGTTTTTTAATTCGAACTGATCATTGGAAAGGTTGATATGGACACGAGTAACTTCTATGTCTTTTCTCAGTCAATGTTAATTTAAATTAAATAATTCAAAATAAAAGGTTTAAAATTATAAATAAAATATTAATAGTATAATTGCAGTTAAACCTTCTCCCAAAATTATGTAAGCACACGGTAGTATGTGGAATAACTAACGTAAAAATGCAAGCTTTTTGGGTTTGAAAATATAATATTAGACTTTAGTATTAGTAGTGAGTACAGCACCAAGAATAGTATAAAAGGTTAGTTATATATTATATCAAAATAAAGAGAATAAACTGGCTTGTGTTCAATTTGAGTTAGGCTAATTTGTTTTTAGTTTTATGTGAGTTTCTGCATTGATTATTTTCCTTTTGCATTAGTTTAGTTTATCTTAACATCTTCAAGTTTACTTTCGCATTTTATAGTTTCAGAGTCATTGCATCTTTCACTCCATTTTATGTTTTATCATTGTATTTTAGTTAAAGCCAGTTTTAGTTTTGCATTTCCATTGCATTTTAATTTCAATAACCATTCATAATTTCTTTCCTTTTTTGCTTTCACTGCTGTTCAGTTTACATGCATTGCATTTTTTATTTCTTTTGCTAATCGTTGTTCATTTTCATTTTACAGTTGCTGGTTTTATTGCTGAGCTTTGATTTTTTTCTTTTAACATTTACTATTTTTAATTGTGTTTTAGATTTAGCTTTAGTTGTCTAGTTCTACCACCAGTTTGCACCAGTTCATATATACATTCCATTTGATACATTGTTTTCATCTGCAGCTTTTCTTTATTGTTTTTAAATTTTGATCTCAAATTTAGCACTGGTTTTAGTTCTGTTTTTCACTTCTGGTTTACTTCCTTTGCACATTGAGGACAATGTGTAATTCAAGTGTAGGGGGAGGGTTCAAATTTTTGCTTTTCTGCCTATTTTCTCAGAGTTTGCAGTTTTAAATTTATGTGTTCAACCTTTGTTTTTGCTGCATAGATTAAGGATTTGTCTGCTTTGAGAGTTTTTCATTTTATTTACTGTTTTTAGGAATGTAGAACATGAGTAAGTAGCAAGTCTGTTATTGCTTTTAATTCTAATGTGGCTATTCAGTTTGTTGTTTTCATATTAGTAGCAGTTTACTTTCAAAAGGGCTACAAAAGTTTACATGAAGCAAAGCGTTCAAGAGGGGAATAAAATCAAACAGGCAGAGGTGAAGATTAAGCTCCATAACTAAGAATGTTGAGAAATAGTAATTCAAAAGTGTGAAAGTATAACATGGTTAATAAAAAGCTCCAAATTTCAAATAGATAATTTAGTTACAACAATGTGTATTAGCTTCTTGATGGATTTTAGCTGGCTACTTGTTGTAAAAGCTGACAATAAAATAATATAGATCACGAACAAAGGATTTCCTGAGGCGTGTGGATCATTGTCATTAAGGACTTATCCGCAATGTATTACGCAAGCCCCCCAAGATACAACATGAACTTCTCAGAAATTTCTGAGGATCTCAGACTAGGAAGGATATCTGAAAAGAGAATAAAATAAACCCACAATATTTTTGGAAAAGAGAGGAAAAAGAGAAAGAATAAAATTAATAGAAGAGAGAATTAGAGAAGAGTTTCTGATCCTCCTTTCTGAATGAAAGAAAGGCTCTATTTATAGAGCTGGGAGAGAGCCAACGTGCCCACTAAACCAGGAAAATATCCCATAAAAAAAAATTGAGTAAAACAATTTTAACAAATAAAGGGAACGTTGCAAGCAAAAGTGCCTTGGCTTGAGGAAGAAGCAATTTTGAATGATAACGTTACTGCCCAACGGTTTTGACCACGTGCAAAACAAATTCAAAATTACTTTCTCTGAAAAGCTTTTGTAATTTAACTTTTAGATTTACAACAATCTCCCACAAATTACAAATGTCGGAAAAGACAAGAAAAGAAAATTATACTGGGTTTCATAAGATGTAATGCATCAGAACTGGTATAGCAAGCTATATGAACCAGTCCTAAATCAAGAAACTTAACACACAGTGTAATTGGTATAGCAAGCTATATGAACCAAAGACACTTGAGTGTGTTAGAGGTTTATCAATCACACTACACCCCCACAATCCTTGTTGTTATCGTTGTGATGCACTTTCTAGGCCATGCGTGTGCCCGATATTCATGAGTGCTCTATAGATCATGCCAGGATCTCATGCAAGTGGCCCCACTAGACACTCATATAGGTGATTTCATCAAGTGTATGCTGCAAATCATACATCACCCGTAAGGGATATGAAGATCATTAAAAACTTTGTTTGATTACAAAGTTTAACCTCTCAATAATGTAGTCTCTAGCACTTTCACACACATCATAGGAATGGACATATTTGATTTAAAATCAAATTAGTGTTATCAGAACTAACAAGTGACTTGTTTTTACCCATATGAACGTTATTAATGGGATCTCCAATCACAAAGGTTGAGTTACCATCACTTGTTTGTTTGCCAATGGCTTAAGTCTCATTCCCCTCGATGTTTCTAAGATCATATTTCTTCCCAAGGGTTTTGTCAGAGGATCTGCTAGATTCCGTTGTGATTTCACATAATCAATGGAAATAGTTTCACTCTTTAGCAGCTGCTTCACAAAATTGTGTCTCAATTGAATATGTCTATTCTTTCCATTGTAATTTTTGTTTTTAGCTATAGCTATTGTCGATTGGCAATCACAGTGTATTGATACCGATGGAGTTGGTTTCATTCCTAGTGGAATGTTTGCTAAGAAGTTTTTCTATCACTTAGCCTCACCATCAGCCATCTCAAGAGCAACAAACTCAAATTCATTATTGATCTTGCAATAATTATTTTCCTGACTGATCTCCATATAATCGCACCACTCCCAATTGTGAATACATAACCACTAATGGATTTTGTCTTGTCTGAATCAGAGATCCAGTTAGCATCACTATACCCTTCTAGTACAGCAGGAAATCCATTGTATTTAATGACATAATTCATTGAACCTCTTAAGTATCTTATAAGCCTAGAAAGTGCATCCCAATGTTCTTGATTTGGACATTGAGTGTACCTACTTAGTCTACCTACTGCATAAGCAATATCAGGTCTAGAAAAGCTCATCAAGTGTAGTAAGCTCCCAATTATCTGGGCATACTGAGGCTGAGATAATGATTCTCCTCTATTTTTCATTAATTTAGAGTTAGCATCATAAGGGGTACTCACTGGTTTTAAGTCATAAAACCCAAACTTCTTAAGAAGTTTCTCAATGTATTGTTCTTGAGATAGTAATATACTATCTCCCTTCCTTATGATTCTAATACCTAAAATCACATTGACTTCACCCATGTCTTTCATTTCAAATTTTGATCGTAGAAACAATTTAGTTCTAGCGACAATCTCATTGCATGTACCAAAGATTAACATGCCATTCACATACAAGCATATAATGACACAATCACTGTCTTCAGATTTAGAGTACACACATTTATCAACATCGTTAGGTGAAAAGCCAAAGTTATTTCTTCAAGTAATTACGTAAAATTACCTACACCCCACAATTTTAAAATATTTAAAATTGGTAAACAGAGAAAATACCTGGTTGTGCTTCTCTCATTTGTAGGTAAAGTATACGAAAAATTACTCAAGTACCTAGCCTCATCTTCTTATTTCTTTTTCTTTCTCTGGAATCTTTCCTCAAACATTACAAAGGCACGACACAGTAAAATTAGGATTCATCATCCTAACTCCAACGAACTCCAATTTTTCGCCTTGTCTCCCTCTTCTTCATCCTCATCCGCGGTCCCTACAAATGTGATAAAAAACCACCATTGTTGTGAGCACCTTGCTTGCTTTCGAAAGTTCTTCTAGAGAAAACCTTGACTTTTGACACGTCCGGAAATGGTTTCGCAAATACCGTTTGAGTTCTGAAAACAGGGATTTGATCCTCTGGGATTGAGTTGTTGATGTCAGCCATAAGTCCTTAAGATTATTGTAAAAGCTGACAATAAAATAATGAAGATCACGAACAAAGGATTTCCTGAGGCGTGTGGATCACTGTCCTTAAGGACTTATCCGCGATATATTGCGCAAGTCCCTCAGGATACAACAGGAACTTCTCAGAAATTTATGAGAATCTCAGAACTAGCAAGGATCTCTAAAAAGAGAATAAAATAAATCCACAATATTTTTGGGAAAGAGAAGAAAAAGAGAAAGAATAAAATTAATAGAAGAGAGAATTAGAGAAGAGTTTCTGAATGAAAGAAAGGCTCTATTTATAGAGCTGGTTGAGAGCCAACGTGGCCACTAAACCAGGAAAATATCTCGTAAAAAAAATTGAGCAAAACAATTTTAACAAATAAAGGGAATGTTGCAAGCAAAAGTGCCTTGGCTTGCGGAAGAAGTAGTTTTGAATGATAACGTTACTGCCAAACGGTTTTGACCACGTGCAAAACAAATTCAAATTACTTTCTCTGAAAAGCTTTTGTAATTTAACTTTTAGATTTACAACACTACTTACCTAGAATGGTAGTTATTAGATGCTGCTCCCATTACAAGCCTCTATATTGCATACTGATGGATGAACTCTACAATCCCTTTTTCTACACAATCCATTTCAATGAGTAGTTTCCCTGCCCGCAGCTATACAATCCATTTCAATCAGAAAATTATTAGCAACAGAAAAAAGAAGTTTTGAAAATAAGGTTCACTAGAAAAATTACCCCCATTATGTGACATATATAAAGATAGGCATCCATAGTCTTCGGAATTTTTTGCCTTAAAGAAGATGCAAAATGATGATAAGAAAAGAATGGAAATATGGTCGATCGATATAGTGATTATAATCTAGATT